TATATAGGGTGAAAATTTTGGAGGAGAAGGTAGTTTTCTTGTGCAACTAAAATTCCTTTACTGCGCTTCTACGCATTCTCGGACCGCCGTCTGAGATTATGTATTCAAACTTGTACGGCCGTCTCAATTCCCGAGACTGCCTCTGTTTCTCGGACGGCCGTCTCAGATTTAAGTGTAATTCTCAGACGGCCGTCTGGGCTATAATTCTTCAGATTTTTGACTTCTTCACTGTTCGCCCATATTTTCTCCAAAATTGCAGTTTTTACCTCATACTTATCCAATTCTTCAGTTTGTACCTAAATTACAATAAATTAACATTTTAAGCACCAATTATCATTAAAACACACCAAAAGCTCCAATTAAAAGGTACGATTAAGTGTAAAAATATACACTTAACAAGAGACGACCCAATATGTCGGAAATTGTGAGGATAATGCTACCACTTGGAGATGGCTTATCATTAGCTCAAAGGTGGGAAGAGTTCTGTGATGAAGAAATAATACCAGATAGCCCAAGGCAATCAGATGAACTATCCAGCCCAAGATGATCGTGCAATATGTTTCAATTACGCTAGCATTTCTCTCTAATAAGATTTTTGTGTTTCGTATATGATCAGTTATAATTGGGACTGCGGCGGACTGTTGGAATCTATTACTATCAATGAAAGTTGGGATACGGGGATCATTGTTGAATTGATCCAATGTGGTTTAAGGGGTAGCTTTTGTCAGTTTTTCCGGAGATCGTAAAGTTCTTTCCAAATATATCAAACCATCGAAGTATAATTATCTCTACATATGGGGTCATCTACAAAAAAAATACTTTGACCTTTGACACATACGGTTAAATTTAATGGAAAAACTAATTGAAGCTAACCCCCTAAACTACAAGAGGGTTTATGTGCTGATATTAAGAGCACAAGGGAGTCATCTACAAAAAGTTGTAATCACAGGGGGTTAAGTGCTATTTACCCTAAAAAGATATAAGGTAAATGATATACCTTATTAGACCGGCCCTATAAGCCAGTAAGTATATGGGCCATCTAAAAGGCCTGATCCACCAACATGGTCATTAATAGATGGCTCAATTCCATTATTAAGATCTTACAAGTCCATTAAAGTTTACTAATCCTATTTAGAGTTCTACTCTAATAAAGATTCTACTAATCACAACGTAAATAAACTTCCATGGCTCACTTTAGATGGTACGTTCTATTCTCTAGTCCTGATACTTAGAAATCTTATTGTTCTACTCAATGTTCTAATAGTGGTCGTGGCGGTCGATATATCAGCCGCCATATCAGCGAGGCGGTTTGTGACGGTTTTTGGCGGGTCGAATCGATATATCGATCAATAAATCGATTTTTTTTCTTCCTTTTTTTATATGTTAGTTAAAATGAATCTAGCTTTTGTTTTTTGTTTTTTTTTTCTTTTCCAATTCTTTCAATTTCCAAAACCAAACCAAGCACTACCGCGTAAGTCGTAACTCACAGGAAGGAAGAACTTGGTGATAACCCAAAACACGAGTTTATGCTTTAATTTGTTATTGTTAGAATCTCGGTGGGATTCTAAGTCCACAACACCAAGTGGAATTCTATGGAGATGTGTATTAATATGAGGAACAACACCTGAACGTGTATCTCCAAAATAGAAGGAATTTCACATTTTTAATATTGTGTTTATTGTCATTAATTGGTTTAGGTCTTCACAAGAATATAAAAGGAGGAGCTAATGCTGACGTTATTTGCTGAGTCTTTTATCACGTGGGTGATTTACCACGTCGCCCTCCAAGTCTACAAAGCCAAGTAAGCAAAGGGGAAAAATGAAGTCATTTACAAGAGGAGCTGCCTAAGGATCATTTACAGGGGGAAAACACATGCAGGGGGAGCTGACTCCATTGTGAACCACCTGCCGAAGTCACTAATGTGGGAACAGTTGCTGAAACTGTGGCACTCACTATTGCAGCAGTTGATGCCACCCTTGTTGCTGAAAGAGATGAAGATGATGAGCTGTTCCTTTAATGCTGGAGATAATCTTTAGTTTTATTGTTTCCGTCTATCCTCTGATTGTTTTATTTTCAGGTTTTCACTTAGCGGGAGAAAATGATTATAATCAATAAACGACAAAGGGGGAGATTGTTAGAATCCCTTGGATTCTAATTATACGAGAATTAAATAAAACTTGTGCCACAAGTTTGCATATACCGTGAGCTAAAGAAGGGAAGAGTCCTTGTAGCTTTTAATTCTTTTAATTTGTCATTAATTAATTTATAATAGGAATTCTTCTTCTAAAGAGTTTCCTTGTGTTGAAAATATTATTTCCTACGTGATTAAAAGTTTCCTAACCCTAATGGACTCTATTTCCTTGTAGGATTCTTATCACCTATAGAAGTATAAATACAGCAACACGGCGCCTCATATCTTACGCCTTCTTGGAGAGAAAAATTTACACAGGATATTTTCTTTACTCTCGTTTTTATTGGCGTCTTTTTGGAGAGAAAAAGATTTATCTTTTCCTTGTTGTTGTTGCGTGCCTTTTATTGAGAGAAAAAAATTTCTCTTTTCTTTGTTGCTCCCATAGTGACTTTTTATCGAGAGAAAATATACAGAGAAAATATTCTTGGCTCTCGTTTTTATTGTTCCATCGTGATACGTTCTTTTCATAGAAAATATACCGGCTTCAAGGCTTTGTGGTGAAGACACCAAGATTCAAGGAGTATCACAAATTTTCTTCTTCTATATAAAAAGAAGATCGGTTCTTCGGGAGCTAGAGTGACCTAAACATATCTCGGGAGGAGATCGATCCGCCGACTGAGGGATTCAGCGTTGAAGGGAGTTCAACCGAGCGGAGCAAATGACGTTCTGCAAATTGAAGATTTATAATTCAGCGTAGTATACAAGAACGGCGTCAACAAAGAGGGAGTCTTTGTATTTTGATTAAGTCCTACTATTATTGTATTCGTAAAACTAAAAATTAGTAAATTTCATTTGCAGGTCCCCGTGGATGTAGGGTACAATTGTATCCGAACCACATTAAATTTGTATCTCGTTTATTTCTGTTTTTACGAACTGCTTCACGAACTGTTGCAACACTTCACGCACCAGTAACGAAAAATTGAATCTTACACAAATAATTTAATCTGCACGAAATAAATTCTAACAGTTATTTTTATGTTAATTGTTGTTGCATGAGAGCCAAAAAAATCACAAGATGGCCAACAATGTTTGGAATTGTTTTGGCAGTTATATTCATTTTATTTTGGAGAAATATGTATTGAGGGAGTAATTTGAGAAGGAAATTAATGTTTGTTTTAGTGTTTTAAAAGAAGAATTTGAAAAATAAAATGGGTAATTGTTTGTTTTTTAATGAAGACAATTTTTACTGTAGCAGTCAAATCATGTTCGAAGGAAGATAAACTTTTAAAATTATTTGAGGAATTCTACTTGAAAAACTTAACAAACACGAATTTGTCTCGGAAAAAATAAAAATGAAATGGAAAAGAAACAGGAAAAATACACATTGCCAATACCATTTACTAGGATTATTGAAACATTTGGTCCCACACGTTTCAATAATTGAATCATTTTAGTCCTTTCAGTCAATTTGCCTTTCAGTATGGCAGTTAAGGCAGTGATGAACACACGCTTGATCCTGTTAGTACTAACGGATAATTGACGGAAATGACAAAATATTGAATTTTTGAAACACGAGGGACCGAATGTATTTTCTATGAACATGAGAACTAAATATTAAATCGGTGCAAGGTCGAGGGATGCAAATTGTATTTTTCTCGAAAAGAAACGAAACATTGCCAATACCATTTACTTGGATTATAAAAGGGAAATTACACTTTTCATCCATCAAGTTTGCACCGATTTCACATTTGATCCCCATGTTCACAAAAAATACATTTGGTCTCTCATGTTCCAATCTATGCTGCACGGACACTTCTAGAAGGTGAAGAGTCCCCGTATCCGATACCTGGACACTCGGACACTCTCAGACACTTCTCGACACCCGTGTCGGGCCGTGTCGTAATTTCGCTAAAAGTAGGACACCCGTATCGGGCAGTGTCCACAATTTTAAAAAAGTTGGGACACTTCTCTTATGTTGTAAGAGAGAGCCCTAATAAAAAAAATGCGCATTTTCTTTTATCTGTAATACACATTTCCTCTGTTTTCTTTGTGAGTCCACCCAAAACTCCAAAAGTCTAGCATGCGACGGCGATCAAGAACTCGAGTGATGCTGCTCCAAAATGGTGGGTCAGCCCAATGGTCTTGAAGCCCACTGGTCACCTAAGTCCGGGAACCTTCAAGCCCAATATCGGGAATGCCGGGGGTCCTTGCCACGTGTCCAAAGGGATCAAAGGTGTGGGTCCGCCGAATAACCTACAAAACAAATCAAGACACTAAGTGACTCGCCGGGGTGGCCCCGGCGATTACACTCCGACGCTCAAGTCAGGTATTGGAAGTGATACTTTGCAAAGGCTAAAATATCACCCAAATTAGAGATACTTCAACAAATGAATCATACCTTGTCTTTATAGTAGGACTTGACTATTAGTTTCTTGTAAACTTTCAATGTGGGACAAGTGTAGAAGTGTGAAACTTCTTGTAGAGATTCAATGTGGGAGAAAATTATAGAAGTGGAGCTCTAATTGGACTTTTCCCTTAATTGGGCCTTTAATGGACCAATTGGGTTTAAGATCCAATTATACACATCATTAAGCCCCCCACTCCCAAATTGGGCCACGGTCCGTGGGCCGGCTTGGGAGTAGTAGAGAACGAGTTTGGAGTTGTTGCTCCATGACCTGGAGAGTTGCGCTACGGCGGATGATCCGGAGGGCGGGGGGGGGGGGGGGGGGGGGGGTGTCTTGGGTGTATTAGGACGAAATTTGTCCGTCTCTCGTACGCGCGCTTTGAGGAGTGGTGGCGCTACGAAAGTGAGTGGTGGTTGGGCGGTGGGGATGACGAAGTGGCCGCTTGGGTGCCCTCGGGAAAACTCTTAGTCGGGTCCGAGCTTGGGTGGCCGAGAGCCATCGGGTTCAACCTTGGTGGGTCGGGAGCCGTCGGGTCCAACCTTGGTGGGTCGGGAGCCGTCGGGTCGAGAACCTCCGGGTCGCGAGGTAGTGGGCCGGAAGCCGTTGGGTCGAGGACCTCCGGGTCGCGACGTAGTCGGCGGATCGGGGGATGCCGGGTGGGGAGCCGGCGGGCCGGGGGATGCCGGTTCGCGGGAGCCGACGGGGCGGGAGTTGCCGGTTCGGGAGGCGACGGGCCGGGAGCCGGAGGGTCGGGGGATGCCGGGCCGGGAACCGACGGGCCGGGAGCCGGCGGGTCGGAGGATGCCGGGTCGGGAGCCGACGGGCCGGGAGCCGGCGGGTCGGAGGATGCCGGGTCGGAAGCCGACGGGCCGGGAGCCGGCAGGTCGGGGGATGCCGGGCCGGGAACCGACGGGCCGGGAGCCGGCGGGTCGGAGGATGCCGGGTCGGGAGCCGACGGGCCGGGAGATGCCAGGTCGGGTTCCGGGTAAACGGGGCGACGGCTGGCCCGGGTTTGCGGCTTTGGCCGATATCAAACCGTATGAGCGAGCCGTCGGGTAATTGGGATAGACTTGGACAAAATTCTCCCGACTTTTGTACGGCTCCGACGGCGTTGGGGGTGGATTTTGGAAAGACTTAGACAAAATCGCCGTGTTTTGTACGGCTCTGGGGGCGTTGGTAATGGAAGACGGGATAATGGCTGAAACTGGAGGTGTGGCTAGAGTGATCGACTTGGATTCTAGTTTGGAAGATGACCCGTGAGAAAAGATTCGGGGCGAAGAGGGTGGGTTGGTATTAATGGAGTGTTTAGACACCAACTCCTCTCCTATCACTTTATCTCTACCCATTTTTTATTTTTATTTAAAGATGCCGACGGCTAATTTGCCGGCCATTACGCCAATGGTCGATTTTCTTTCCGAAAATATCAATGGCAAGAAGCCTTTCTCTCGCAAATAATGAGTTATAATCTGTCTTTTTTGGGTAAGACGATATCTCATGGTTATTGCATGGTGGGAAGTCCGACTTTCGTAACGGATGAGCTACGCTTTATCTTTTTAAGCATGGCGGTATCCCTTGGCTTAGCCTAGTGGGAAATGCACTTTTTGCGAAGAATGAGTTTAACTTTATTTTTTAAGGCGATGCCGTACCCCTTGGCTTTTTGCCTATTGGGAGGTCCGACTCTCGCAAAGAATAAGCTAAGCTTTATCTTTTAAGGCGATGTGGTATCCCTTGGCTTCTTGCCTAGTGGGAAATGCACTTTTTGCGAAGAATGAGTTTAGCTTTATTTTTTAAGGCGATGCCGTATCCCTTGGCTTTTTGCCTATTGGGAAGTCCGACTCTCGCAAAGAATAAGCTAAGCTTTATCTTTTAAGACGATGTGGTATCCCTTGGCTTTTTGCCTAGTGGGAAGTCCGACATTCGTTAAGGGTGAGCTATGCTTCATCTTTTTAAGAAAGGCGGTATCCCTTGGCTTAGCCTAGTGGGAAATGCACTTTTTGCGAAGAATGAGTTTAGCTTTATTTTTTAAGGCGATGCCGTATCCCTTGGCTTTTTGCCTATTGGGAAGTCCGACTCTCGCAAAGAATAAGCTAAGCTTTATCTTTTAAGGCGATGTGGTATCCCTTGGCTTTTTGCCTAGTGGGAAGTCCGACATTCGTAAAGGATGAGCTATACTCTATCTTTTTAAGCAAGGCGGTATCCCTTGGCTATAGCCTAGTGGGAAGTCCGTCTTTTTATTTTCTCTTGGTGTTTCAGGGAACGAAATTCCAATTTCGATATGTTATCACGTATGTAAATTGTAGTTTTACGGGTAGTGGGTTGAAAGGTAACGAAAGTGATCAGCAGATACATAAAAATAATGAGTAATTAGATAAAGGTTCGGCGGGAAGTATGCCCCTGATTAAAACATTCAATTATCATTGTAGCTGACAGTACATAATATATTGCGGTGACTGACATGCCCCCGGCTTGTTTTTGAAAGCTCTTAAGATCTTCAAGTTTTTTGCCCTTAGCGCCTATTCATGTGTTGTGGCGCTATCCTTTTGATGGCTATGCGGCGTGAGCATTAGGTTAGGTGAGCGTTGGGCGCATTTCTTGTCTATCTCTCGTCTCAGGGTGCGTCTCCTCGTGCTTTCCCCTCGCGGGCAAACCCATCTCCGCAATCTCCTCAATGCGAATGTACTTCTCGGCCCGACCGATGAGCTCATCCAATGTCGAGGGGGGTCGGCCCGCAAGGGACTCTCGAAACCGTTCATGCCTCAAGTTGCTCATCAAGATCCCCGCCAAGAACTCGTGGTTTACGTGGCATACTTCATGCACCGCGCTAAAGAATTGTTGCATATAATCTCTGAGCGCCTCGTTTTCTTGCTGGACGACCTTGAAAAGGTAGGTTCCAGTCTTGGCGTACTTCTTGTTGATGGAATATTGGCTAAGGAATTGTTCCACTAACTGCGACCATCCGTCGATAGTCCCACCTGGCAATTTGTTGAACCAACCTAGCGCTTGGCCACTCATGGTAGTTTGAAAGATCTTGCAGTATGCCGCATCCGTGAGACCGTAAAGATCGACCTTGGCATAAAAGTTACTTATATGGTCTTGGGGATCTGCGGTTCCGTCGAACTGTGGAAGATCGGGGATCCTAAACCCGAAGGGCAGGGCTTCTTTTAGAATGGCCGGGGTAAATGGGCTTACTCTTGTCGGAAGTGCTTTCACCAGGGCAAGGGACGCCGACTCTTTTGCCTTCGTCTGCCGGCTTCTTGCATCGTCGTCGTCAACCCTTGTGCGACGTCGACTTCTCTCCTTGTGCTGGGACATTCTGCTACTGTCTTCGCCCTGATCAGGGCCTCCACGGTGGTTGGGATGGTGGCGTCTCTTTTCGCCTTTCTCCTCTCGACGCATACGCTCCTTTTGTCCCCTTGAGCGTGCTCTACGTTGATGGTCGCCCCTTTGAAGAGAGTAATCTACGGTGACATTAAATGGTGGCGACCAACGGCGATTGTTCCTTCGAGGCACTTGCTCCGGCAAAAGGCTAAGGTGAGGCGCCCGCCGTTGGACATTCCTAGCGGATGTTGAGGGAAAGTTTCGGTCTCCCATTGACACTCTTTCCTCCGAATGGTAAGGCTCCACGACAGGTGAGGCGGGGTGGTTTGGGTGAGGCTCCAACAGGTCATCGGTTACCGGGTTCGGGTCTTCTTCTGGGGCTACACCTTGGGTGACGAGGTAATGCGCCACTGCCGCCGCCGCTGCCTTCGTTGCCACTTGGTCCATCAAGGCTTCCAATTCTTCTGTCCTCATCTGTAAGACTGGCGGGGCCCCTCCTGGTCGGTTTGTAGTTCCCGTCGTCCGTGCCCTTCGGGGGGGATCCGGGATCTCGGGGCCTTCTTGGGGAGGGAATCCATCCGTCCTTCGATCGCCTTCTTCCATGCCACGTGCTCTGGTACGCATTCCCACAGACGGCGCCAAAATGAATAAGAAATATGCCAAAACAGGATCGTATCTCTTCAAGGTCATACAACGAGACGGAGAGCCACTCAGAGATTACATACAACGATTTGTCAAAGCAGTACATGAAGTGCGCCACGTTACTCACGAGATGTTAGCCGGCATACTACAACAAAATTTGAAGCATGTTCGTTTTCGAGAGTCCATCGCGGGCCGACCCCCTAAGACCCTGGAGGAGCTCTTGAACCGCGCTGGGAAGTACATACGGATTGAGGAGATCACGGAGATGAGAGTACCCCTTAAACGAAAGCGCGACGTGGAAAGCCACAACTATAATAGAGAAGAAGAGAGACATCCCATCGAAAATCGCACCTTCGGGAAGTTCTCACCTCAAGGATAAACTTCTTGACATGATGATCATCGCTGAGCAGAAGGGTATTATTCAACCACCGAAAAGGATGAATGATAATCCAGAACGACAAAAGTCGGATAACTACTGTGAATACCACAGATATCGGGGTCACACTACTGAGGAGTGCTTTCAGCTTAAGCAATCACTCGAAAGACTTCTCCAAGATGGGCACTAGAGCGAATTCCTAGAACAATCGCAATCCTGAAGAAATACTTTACTTAATGTTTATTATTGCCCCACGCGGGCTCCATGTAATTTCTTTTCATCAATAATTCGGGGGCAAATCGCCGCGCGCAATATTTCCAATCAGGTAATAAGTCGCTAGCATACCGCACCGCTCAATATTTCCAATTATGTAATAAATCGGCGGCACACTACCAGCCGCAAGATTATTAATAAACTATTTTAGCCGGTGGGATACCGCCGCCGTAATTTCTACATCAACCCTTTGTCTTCTGCACGCAGAGCATTGACAATCGATTTAACAAAAATTCAACAGATTCAAAAAGTAGCTAAATGGGAAGATATCAAGGATCACAAAGGGTCTGGCCAACTCGAACCTTGGTTTCTCGCTCCCAGAGCTCCAAAAAATAGAGCAACTAAAGCTCAAGGAAGTCTGATCTGCCATAAAAGTTCGTATAAAACACTTAGGCAAACGGACTTCCCACATAAAAAACTTGAGGGTCTGATCAACCGCCAAGTACAGAAATACGGACTCCCCACTAGGCAATAAAGCCAAGCGGTACCGTTTCACCTAGAAAGATAAAGCATAGCTCATTCTTCACAAAAATACGGACTTCCCACTAGGCGTTTAAGCCAAGGGATACCGTCTTCGCTAAAAAGATAAAGTAAAAGCTTATCTTTTGCGGGAACCGAGCTTCCCACTAGGCGATATAGCCATGGGATAGCGTCTCACCGAAAAAGATGAAGCATAACTCATTCTTTACAAAATGCGCGCTTTCCACTGGCAATAAAGCCAAGGGATATCACCCGCTAAGAAAACTAAAATAAGTCCTCGTTCTTGGTGAGAAACGGACTCACGATTCACAAAGTGTCGAAGCTTTATCTCAAGAAACAAAAAAAAAAAAAAAAAAAACAAAAAACAATATATATATATATATATATATATACAAATATAAAATTAGCACTTGACAGTAGGCAACACCAACCATTCCACAATCTTCCGCAAGATGGTGTCACCAGTACCTCGAATTTCGAGCCACATGACATCACAAATTCTCTCGCTGACGTCACGCAGCCTTTTGGCCAAGCACATGGCTAATGTCACGCTACCCTAACACTCAACAGCTCCGCCTCGATCCCCGCACCGGATGATATCACACTTTTCTTGGCTGACGTCACGGCCCACTCATCCCACCTTTTTTCGAACGAGATACCGGGCCCATCCGAGGGGACCCACAGCCGACCGAGTTGACTCGGTCGGCTGCAGCTGCCCAGCCGCACGAATTTTCCTTACCGCGTGACATCGCACCGGTCCAATTTCCGAGTTGCGACCGCCCACAATATTTTCCTTTTCTTGGAAAACGAGCATCAACACTCTCTTGCTTCTAACTTTCTCCAAACAACTCCGAATTTCGCAAAATTTGCACCGAAAAATTCTAAATTTTTCACACTACAACTTGTAATTTCCAATATCGTGGAATTTCTCACGTGTTAAGACAATCTACGGATTTATCAAAACGCCACATTAACATTGAAGCCCGGTAAGTTTTTCGACAAAACTTCTAAGTACTTCGAGTCGCGAGACCAAATATTGAATTTCGCAACATACTCAAGCCTCAAAACGCACCCCACAACATATCGGCCCTCGATATTCTCATCCCCATTGGTACGAATCCGATTACAAAAATACGGACTTCGTACTAGGCGTTAAAGCCAAGGGATACTGTCCTACCAAAAAAGATAGAGTAAAAGCTTATTCTTTACGAGAGTCGAGCCTCCCACTAGGCGATATAGCCAAAGGGATACCGTCTC